TCCTTGAAGTACAAGGGCGAGGAAGAGGTCAAGGTTCTCAGGTAAAGTCGTTCTGGAGAGGAAGTGCTGAACCTGCATGTGTATAATATGGTACTTCGAAGGGATATGAGATAGACTAAGAGTTGTGATGTGACGACAGGATGAAGGAACGATGCTTTTAGTTGTTACTCTGGCTGACCCAGCCTGTGTTACTCTAGCTGGGTCAGGCTGTGTTACTCTGGCTGACCCAGCCTGTGTTACTCTGGCTGACCCCAGCCTGTGTTACTCTGGCTGACCCCAGCCTGTGTTACTCTGGCTGACCCAGCCTGTGTTACTCTGGCTGGCCCCAGCCTGTGTTACTCTGGCTGACCCAGCCTGTGTTACTCTGGCTGACCCAGCCTGTGTTACTCTGGCTGACCCAGCCTGTGTTACTCTGGCTGACCCAGCCTGTGTTACTCTGGCTGGCCCCAGCCTGTGTTACTCTGGCTGGCCCCAGCCTGTGTTACTCTGGCTGGCCCCAGCCTGTGTTACTCTGGCTGGACCCAGCCTGTGTTACTCTGGCTGACCCAGCCTGTGTTACTCTGGCTGGCCCCAGCCTGTGTTACTCTGGCTGGCCCAGTATGTGTTACTCTGGCTGACCCAGCCTGTGTTACTCTGGCTGACCCAGCCTGTGTTACTCTGGCTGACCCAGCCTGTGTTACTCTGGCTGACCCCAGCCTGTGTTACTCTGGCTGACCCAGCCTGTGTTACTCTGGCTGACCCAGCCTGTGTTACTCTGGCTGACCCCAGCCTGTGTTACTCTGGCTGGGTCAGGCTGTGTTACTCTGGCTGACCCAGCCTGTGTTACTCTGGCTGGCCCAGCCTGTGTTACTCTGGCTGGCCCAGTATGTGTTACTCTGGCTGACCCAGCCTGTGTTACTCTGGCTGGCCCAGCCTGTGTTACTCTGGCTGACCCAGCCTGTGTTACTCTGGCTGACCCCAGCCTGTGTTACTCTGGCTGACCCAGCCTGTGTTACTCTGGCTGGCCCCAGCCTGTGTTACTCTGGCTGACCCAGCCTGTGTTACTCTGGCTGACCCAGCCTGTGTTACTCTGGCTGACCCAGCCTGTGTTACTCTGGCTGACCCAGCCTGTGTTACTCTGGCTGGCCCCAGCCTGTGTTACTCTGGCTGGCCCCAGCCTGTGTTACTCTGGCTGGCCCCAGCCTGTGTTACTCTGGCTGGCCCCAGCCTGTGTTACTCTGGCTGGACCCAGCCTGTGTTACTCTGGCTGACCCAGCCTGTGTTACTCTGGCTGGCCCCAGCCTGTGTTACTCTGGCTGGCCCAGTATGTGTTACTCTGGCTGACCCAGCCTGTGTTACTCTGGCTGACCCAGCCTGTGTTACTCTGGCTGACCCAGCCTGTGTTACTCTGGCTGACCCCAGCCTGTGTTACTCTGGCTGACCCAGCCTGTGTTACTCTGGCTGGCCCCAGCCTGTGTTACTCTGGCTGACCCAGCCTGTGTTACTCTGGCTGACCCAGCCTGTGTTACTCTGGCTGGCCCCAGCCTGTGTTACTCTGGCTGACCCAGCCTGTGTTACTCTGGCTGACCCAGCCTGTGTTACTCTGGCTGACCCAGCCTGTGTTACTCTGGCTGGGTCAGGCTGTGTTACTCTGGCTGGCCCAGTCTGTGTTACTCTGGCTGACCCAGCCTGTGTTACTCTGGCTGGCCCAGCCTGTGTTACTCTGGCTGACCCAGCCTGTGTTACTCTGGCTGACCCAGCCTGTGTTACTCTGCTGACCCAGCCTGTGTTACTCTGGCTGGCCCCAGCCTGTGTTACTCTGGCTGACCCAGCCTGTGTTACTCTGGCTGACCCAGCCTGTGTTACTCTGGCTGGCCCCAGCCTGTGTTACTCTGGCTAACCCCGCCTGTGTTACTCTGGCTGACCCAGCCTGTGTTACTCTGGCTGGCCCAGCCTGTGTTACTCTGGCTGACCCAGTATGTATTACTCTGGCTGACCCAGTATGTGTTACTCTGGCTGACCCAGCCTGTGTTACTCTGGCTGACCCAGCCTGTGTTACTCTGGCTGACCCAGCCTGTGTTACTCTGGCTGACCCAGCCTGTGTTACTCTGGCTGGGTCAGCCTGTGTTACTCTGGCTGGCCCAGTATGTGTTACTCTGGCTGGCCCAGCCTGTGTTACTCTGGCTGGCCCAGCCTGTGTTACTCTGGCTGACCCAGCCTGTGTTACTCTGGCTGACCCAGCCTGTGTTACTCTGGCTGACCCAGCCTGTGTTACTCTGGCTGGCCCCAGCCTGTGTTACTCTGGCTGACCCAGCCTGTGTTACTCTGGCTGACCCAGCCTGTGTTACTCTGGCTGGCCCAGCCTGTGTTACTCTGGCTGACCCAGTATGTGTTACTCTGGCTGACCCAGTATGTGTTACTCTGGCTGACCCAGCCTGTGTTACTCTGGCTGACCCAGCCTGTGTTACTCTGGCTGACCCAGCCTGTGTTACTCTGGCTGAACCAGCCTGTGTTACTCTGGCTGGCCCAGTATGTGTTACTCTGGCTGGCCCAGTATGTGTTACTCTGGCTGGCCCAGTATGTGTTACACAGCCTGGCCCAGCCTGTGTTACACAGCCTGGCCCAGCCTGTGTTACACAGCCTGGCCCAGCCTGTGTTACACAGCCTGGCCCAGCCTGTGTTACACAGCCTGGCCCAGCCTGTGTCACATTGACGCGTTGAAAGGTATTTTGCATCGCTACCATTGACGATTATGCAACAGAGCGCCGCCCGGATATAACTATCCAATTACCACCCATAATGATGGTTTTGTTGCTTTTGTGACCTATTGATCCATCGGTGTGGCGTGCAACGCTCCAATAACTATTTGTGCTTGCAGGATCGTGCTCTTGGACCCCGCCTTTGTATCCGTTGCTTGTCGCTTGTACTGATTCCCGATCTATTTTTCACCTTTCACTTATATCTAACCCATCCTCCTGTTCAGATAGTTTTTGTAGCTATGTGCACCATAGTACAAATATTGACGTACTAAGCAATTAGATAGTAGAATTTTGTACTATTCATCTTAATAGTCCGAAAATAATGAAGCTAAATATAAACTTAAATGTTTCTAGGCCTAGTGTAGTACATATATGTACTATATTAGGCCTCAGATAGCGAGAATTAGGCCTAGGAAAGTGGGGTTAGGTTAGTCTAATTGGTCTTGGCAACATAAATGGAAAATCGTTTTCTGTTTGTCCAAATTCAATAGTACCGATTTCTACTTTCTAAATTGGTTTGTTCGTCGTTATATATATATATTATGGTCCTCATCGTTACTATAAGTACTACCAAAACTGCCTCCTAGGTACCTATTTACGGCCAGGTGAACAGAGGCACCAGGTGAAAGAAAATTTGCCAAATTGCTTCTGTTACGGTGGGAATTTGGGGGAGCGAGGTTGTTGAGCTGAGCAACGAACCATAGCTAACGAGAGGTCTGTATGGTCCTTTTAACCTTTCAAAGTCATTATCGTAAAGTGTGCCAGCGACTGTTTTCTCCGAGGGCCTCTTGAACGAGGTCGTTACGTATGGTGCCTTAGTGCCTCGTTCACTGGTTGGCCCTCGTAACGATGTCTGGCGTGATGTGTCCAGCCACTGTCCCCCTGGGGGGCTCTGTCCTCTCGTCTTGATTGATTGATTCAATCAATTAAGATTAAGTCTCCCACGAGGTGGCACGGGCATGAATAACCCGTAATTGATACCCGCGTTGATGCTGCGTTGACTGTATGCGTCCTCAAAATGATAGGAATGAGTTACAGCAAACGCCCTCACCTTGCACCTCATGCGTCACGTATTGCGTCACGTGTTGCGTCACGCGTTGCGTCACGTGTTTCACGACGGTTGCATTCATATTTCAAACTAGTTTGGCGGCCGGCCTTGAGATGGACTGTTTTCTTACATGCATTTGAGTCACTATTGCAAACACTGCATAAGTTTTAATGGCCAATGCAAGTGTCATTTGGTCATTCAAGTGACACAAGGCTAAGTGTCTCAGCCTTGACACACTTAAGCAGAAGAATGACCAGGAGTCAGGCGTCCACTTGAGAGTGAATGGCATGACTGCAAGACATTCTTAACACTGGCTGTCCCGCCCAGCATGAAGGGGAGTGGAGAGCAATGGTCTCAGTGGGTGGACTGCATGTTTCCAGATCACCCGAAGGCCGTTGACATGGGACCTATAACACACGGGATGATGATGATGATGATGATGATTAGGAGGGCAGTGGATGATGGTTCGAAAGGTAAGAAAGGGCACTGGGCCCCTGGAAACACAATCTGAAACTGTCTCTATTTTCCGCTTGTTACAACTTGTAATAAAGTTGTTACATCTTGGCTTAACGTGTTTATGACGTAATAGAACGTTGTTACAACTTGCTATATTGGTTGTTATAACTGGTTAGGTGTTGAAACTTGTTCGAACGTTGTACCAACGTCGTAGTTTCGGTGTGTGTTTGGCGGGTCCACTACTCACCAGCACACACTACCACTAACAATCACGCTACCACTATTCACTATCACTCAATATTATAGCACTGGTGTACACAACCTACCCACTTAAGGGTCAACATGTCCTACTTGCTCCTAGTGGTTGAGCCATCTAGCAAGAAGGTTAATCTAGCAATTAATCATAATGGGACTTCAGCCCATTATGATTAATCTGGCAAAATAAAGTGTCTAGTTACCGCCTTGGTAACAAGGCATTCTTCTCAAACCACAATGGCAATATGGACCCAAATTCATGTTAATACTATTTGGTAAATTTGCTTAACAGCTAAAAACGAACAATTGCACCCACTTTAACACCGTCTATAAGTATGTATATACACACACATGTATATTCAAGCATACTCACATATATACACAAGGTTACGCACTACGATATAATGTTAACATGCAGGACAAACCTATTAAAGAACATATTTAAGGAACTTCGATCAGATTTTTTTTATTAGAGGGTGTGAAGAATCAAGGAAAAAACTCACCTGTTTTCCTCCCAGGAAGAGCAGCAGCACCAGGAGGAGGAGACTGGTGAGAAGAGGTCCCAAATCGACATCCATGGTCCTCCCAGATAATGGGGTTCGAATCCCACCTGCCTTAACTCTATTATGAGAGAGGCAGCAGCATGGGGACCTACTGCGGGTTCCTGGGCAGGGTATATTAAGTGCCCAGTCGATCCTATCTACGCTAAGAGAGGTGGTGAAAGGGGGGAGGGGAGTAGTTCTGAAGGTTTTCGGCCGGGATGGTTTCAGATCCCAGCTAAAAACCCGGACGGTTTCACCTCAGGGAAACGCTAATTGATGATGAGTTCTCGAACTGCACTTCGACACCTCGACACGTTTTCAAGAACACATCTTCATTTTCACTTTCATGCTTCTTTTGGTCTCATGCGCAAAATAATCGATTATTTTTGGTTGGGGTTGGCAACGTCTTTTGCGCAGTATCAATGTTATATCAACTTTATCTTGCGTAATATCACAGGTTTCAAATGAAGTTTGTGCTTCAGATTCAAGAGTACAGAGGTTCAAGGCCTCCTTAAGTAT